AAGAAGAGAAAAGAATAAAAAGTATCGAGGAAAACTTATGGCCAATACAATCCGAGACAGAATATCTATTTTAAATAGTTAAATAAATTCCATACGAATACAGTACACAAAATGCCTCGCGACTGTTAATAAAATATTTCGTATTTCTGTGTTATTTTCCCGTTCCCTTTTCTTTTCTTTCTTTTCCTTTTTTTTTTTTTTTTTTTGCTTTACTCTTATACCAGTTGTGTGTGCGTGCAGTTTTATGGTACTCCTATTAGGTTTAACTGCATTCCATCTTTATAAATTATGAAGAAAAAAAAACATATGAAATTACCTAACAATTATGTAACACGGCTTTTAAACGTTTAGTTTAATAATCCTATGAAACTAGTTTCGTCATTGACCAACTTTGTTTTAAACAAGATGAACTACATGCCTTATTATAACGATACAATGAAGTGAAATTCGCGTTTAGAATAAGTGCAATCAGTCTACTTTTATTTGCTGTTGTTGATTGATGACGTAGTTATTGCATAAGGGGTGTGTTCAGCGCTGTTTATTGGCAAAAGCATCCACTTTTGAATATATACAAGAAAAACGTGTAGTCGGGAAGTTTAATTATCCATAAATGTCATTTCAAATGTAAAATTTTACATTATTGCCAGTATTGCTCTCAGTATTCAGTTTCTGCAGACAAAAACCTTCCAACTTTCGTTCCTACAACTTCAATAATATGCTTTCGATGAAATGATGTTCTGACGTGAGTGAATACGCGCTATACGGTTTGACCTTGCATAATCAAATCTTCAGCCTGTCAGTTCATATTACAGGTTCATCATGTGTGCAAACTGTATGTACTTTAATCTATCTACTTACAAAGTTTACATCATTTGCATTCATTTCTGACATGGCCAACATGTAAAATATAACATTATGTGTAGATGTAAGTTTTGCCTGTCTTTATATCTAACAATTATGTTATACAGTTTGAAATTGTAAACCGCCGTAGTGGTCATTTTGCGGCGAGTTCGTCTCGAGTGTGGGAGATCATGCGTTCGTTCGCCAGCCGGGTCAAACCATGGACTTTAAAATGTGTGCTGTTTCTCAAAGAAGCAATCGGCATTGAGTAAGAGCAAAGCGTGATCGGTTCGGAGTCAGAATAATGTGTTCAGATAGGGTGAAATGTCTTCCTGTGTATTGTAACCTATCAATTAGCACATTAAAAATGCAGATCAGCGTGTTGGTATAGCCCAAAGAAAAGTTAATTGTCACATTACATGTATATGTTCTCGTCCTAAATTTACATTGAAAATATCATGATGTTTAAAAGCTATCCATCATCATCATCTGTTAAATGATCCCTTTCAACTTGTGTCTTCTTTGTTAAAAGGAAGTTCTAGATAGGGTTTCACATTATCACCGAACTAGTATATAGAAATTTGACTCAATTACGCCTGTTCTAATATCGTTACACTGGCTACCCATACATTACCGTTGCCAATATAAACTTCTTTTATATGTGTACAAAGCCCAGAATGGCAAGGCTCCTAGCTACCTTCAAGATTTAATTACGCCTTACAAACCCAGTAGATCCCTCAGGTCGGAAAATTGTATGCTCTTACATCCTCCGAATGACGTCCGAACGAAAAGCTACGGTGAGAGGCGTTTTGACAAGGCTGCACCTACACTCTGGAACAGTTTGCCATCGTCCTTGCGGAGTGTAAATTCTTTGGATGTTTTTAAAAAGCAACTCAAGACTCACTTATTTCGGACTGCTTTTAAGGATTTCTTGTAGATTTTATATACTTTTAATTGACTGCATTAGTTTTAGACTGTTTTTTTGTATATTTTAGGGTACATGCATTTTTCATTTTTAGTATTTTATTAATTTTTATATGCTTGTTTGATTCTTGTAAGTTGGTGCTTTGTAATTTATGTTTTATGTATTTTTGTATTTTATTTATTTTCAAATGTGAAGCGCTTAGAGTAATTGTTGTTATTATATAATGCGCTGTATAAATATTGTATTTATTATATATATTTGTTTAGGGGCCAGCTGAAGGACGCCTCCGGGTGCGGGAATTTCTCGCTGCATTGCTGACCTGTTGGTGACCTTCTGCTGTTGTCTGTTATATGGTCGGGTTGTTGTCTCTTTGACACATTCCCCATTTCCATTCTCAATTTTATTTACACAATAAAGATAATTTGCCAAATCTCTTGACAAATGGGCATACAAATAAAGAATACAAAATATTAAGCTAAATCCAGGAGAATAAATGATGCTAAAATACAAAGAAATAGAGTATAATTGACAAAAAATATAACGAACTACCCTTAATATTAAGCAATCTTAAACGAAGGACCCTTCATCCAGACTTTCATATTGTTTGTTAATTTCTGTTTCTTCCCCCTTTTGTTAATTTTATTTTATTTTTTGCTTTGCTTTTCTCTTTTACCAGTAGTGTATTCGTGCATGTCCATCGTACACCTTTTAAGTTTAACATTTTAAAATGAAATCACACAACAATTATGTAACAAGGCTTTAAAATGATTTGTTTAATTATCCTCTTAAACTAGTTTCGTCATTGACCGACTTAGTTTTGAATAGGATGAACAATAAATATCGCATTCCTCCTCATAAAGATAAAATGAAGTGTAATTCTCATTTAGTGTTAGTGCAGTATGTCTCATATTATTTGCTGTGATTGATTTACAACGTGTTTGTTACACAAGGAGTGTGCTCTACACTTTTTATTGACAAGACAGAAAATGTTAATATCAAAAAGATAGACGTTTCGAAAAGAAACTAAGATATCCACAAATTGTAGTTCAAATATATAAATTGACAGTTATTGCCAATAATGCATTCATTTTCCTGAGACAAGTTTACTTGTACCTTTCGTTCAATCAACTTTGATGACATGCTTTCGATGAAATGATGTGATGACGTGAGAATAAGCACCAAGATTTGAACAGTGCATAAAGTTAAAGCGTTTGGCATTAATATATTACAGATTTATCATATGTGTAAACTGCATGCAATATATTTTACCTATTTACAAATTTGTCTTTTGATTTGTGTCTACACATCTTTCATTCATACTATTAAGTTTATTTGTTTTTATGTGTATTATGTTTATTTTTCTAATATCCAGTTTTATGTGGTACAATAAGGAGGACGAAGTAATATATTGAGCAAGATAAATCTCATTAATTAAGCAACAACACAATATTTTCAGATTATATACATATAAGAAGATGTGGTAAGAGTGCCAATGAGACAACTCTCCATCCAAGTCACAATTTGTAATAGTAAACCATTATAGGGCAAAGTACGGCCGTCAACTCGGCGCCTAGGCTCACACCGAACAGCAAGCTATAAAAGCCGCAAAAAAGTTGAGTGTAAAACAATACAAACAATACAAACAGGAAAACCAACGGTCAAATTTATATAAAAAACGAGAAATGAGAAACACTTATGAACCACATCAACAAACCAACAAAATTGTATTTGCTGCCAATCTCGCGGCATTCAAGGGTAAGAGGAAAGACTGGTAGGCTCGGATTCAGAATAACGTGTCAGAATAGGGTGACATATCTTACAGGGAATTTATACCTTGTGAACTAGCACGATAGCGTTTCGGTCAAATACAAAGCAGGGTCCATATTGATATTACATAAAAATGTTCTCGTCCTGAATGTGCATTCAATTTGACGATGGACGTTTAACAATTACTTATCATCAGCATCAACTGTTAAAAAATTCCCTTAAACATGTTAAACTAGTTTTGTCTTTGACAAATAGAAGAGTTTTACAAAATAAAGAATAATTGGCCAAATATTACGGAAAACGGACCACCAAATTAAAAAAAAAAGTATGCATACCATTAGCCTTAAAAAATAAGAAAGAGAATAAATGATGATAAATCTATGGATTTTAATTTAGACCCCCCCCAGCCACCCCCCCCTCCCCCCACCCACCCCACCCCCTAAATTCTACCTTAATTGTTAGTGCAGTATGTCTTAATTGGCTTGGAGTTGTTAATTGTCATAAGTGCATCAGGAGTGCGCTCCGCTGTATATTGGCAAACCATTTTTCCTCTGGCAAATACAAAGTGATGAACGTGCAGAAAGGCAATTGAAATATCCATAAATGTCAGTTCAAATACGATAAAAAAAATATGTTATGACGTTATAATAAGCGCTACGGTGTGACGGTGCATATAGTGTCAGATATTTACAACAGTGTTGTCACGTGTATAACACTAGATGCTATTATATATACCTACGTACAAATTTCACATCAGTTTCAAACATTGTTGTCTAATTTGTGATTTGAAGGTCAATATAGTTGACCTCTAAACGACTCTGTATATTCGACTTTTCATATGCGTCGTCATGCTTACTAGTCAGTTTATGCATTTTGTATTTGTATTTATATTTAAAATATCCAGCATTAAACGTTACCTTTCACCACCATCGGGAGGGCGATGTTCTGTATTGAGCAAGATATCGTCCCTTACATTTTTATATGTAGGTTAAAAAGCAATATCTTCAGCTCTATTTTTACATTATAAAACCCTAGATCAATACCATACTGAAAAAAATCATGTTCGATTTCCATTCAAGTATAACTAATATATATGTTATCGTATGGTTAACTACCTTAATCCAATTCACCTGTATGTAACACGTGGTTCAGTACTGCCACGATTCAGATAATGTAATTCTAGTGTGATTTTTGAGATCCGCAACATTGGAGGTAATTAACTTCCTGAGTGAGCATTACATTTAAAGCCCTTAGAATGTCAATGAAGTACATAATAGTTAAGCAGTTTTATTTTTCCACTTTCCCTCTCACTATGGTCATTGCTAAATGCTTGGTCCGGTGATTAACTTATTTTCGTCTAGTGATTAATCAAAAACTTTACATTTTTATTGAATATCAACCCGACATATATCTTTTTTGCTCTAATTATAAATTTTAATTAGATATACATGTATGTTATGTATTTCAGATCAACCAATCAGAATATCTGTCATGTGGGAATGGATCAAACCTTACATGTGATGATCAGTGGAACACCAGTCAAGACTCAAGCCAGAGGTCAATTGGATCTGATGTATTTACTTATGTCACACCAGTGATATTTGCTGTAGGAATAACCGGAAATACTATTTCCTTATTAGTGTTTCTTACAAAGAACATGAGGAAATTATCTGCAAGCGTATATCTCGCAGCACTCTCAACAGCTGATATCATGGCTTTGATATTTTACGTCCTTGTTGAGTGGATAAGAAAAGGAATACCAACCGGTTCCGGACAGGTTACAGCTCCGTTTTTGGAAAGTAATGGAGTATGTCAGATCATTCTGTTTATGTCATATTCATTCCGTTTCCTTTCGGCTTGGCTTGTAGTTTGTTTTACATTAGAGAGATATGTCGGAGTTTGTCACCCGCTGAAACGGAAGGATGTCTGTAACCTACGTTCTTCAAAACGAATTGTTTTCTTCGCAGTTATTGTTTCCTTTGTGATAGCCTCAATCCGACCATGGCTGAGCGAAGTGCGTTATGTAGGGCCCAATAATGTTCCTTCGTGTACAAGACGACTAGAACACACACACCTGTCATTCATTTATGACTGTATTTTTGGAGTGTGTATAACCTTTCTTCCATTCCTGATTATAACAGTGCTTAATACATTAATCATTCGGAAGTTAATTAATCGGAACAAAAGACACAGACAAGTGAAAATCATAACAGAGGAAAGTATAATTCGACTCGAATTTACTATCATTTTGATAACTATATCACTTTGCTTCATCGCTTTTAATACGCCATATGCCATTGTTTGGTTTAAACATTTTCTGCAAATGAGCTCTATGCGGATGGAGGAAAGTATATTTGTACTAAAAAATCAGAACTTATTGATTTTTACAAGGACAATATTTTTTATGAATTATTGCATTAACTTTTTCCTGTATAGTATAACAGGTGCTTACTTCCGGGAAGAACTTAAAATGTTATTTACATATAGAAGTAAAGTTTATCAAAATTATCACAAATGCCCCCTCCCCCATTCTCCAGCAACAACTCCACAATCGTGGATTGCTTGATGTATGGAAAATACGGTTTCAAAGTTAAATAAAGTCAATCAAAATAAATTAAGATTTTTTTCTCTTAAAAAATGATTACAATGTTGATCATTTTCTTTCTGAATATTCTATGTCGTTATCAAAAGAGTTAAGCTATGGGTTATTTGCACATCAAATATGATTTAACTCACTGTTCGACTAAGTTTGAGACGAAAAAGAGCATTCGTTTTTGATTCAGTAATGAATATTATCAATCTTTAAACAAAAGGACATGATGGTAAAGCATCAACCAGTCAGCAACCAAACGGGAAAGACACATGAACGACAATTACACATCTAGTAGTTTTTGAGAAACTTTTTGTTGCATACAGATTTACCTTTTCTAGTTTATTTCAGATTTTGTATTGCAAACTTACTTTGCTGATACCAGTTATAAGTTGAAATGTATATTCTTTAGAAACTAAACAATGAACTGGAATATTTTTTATTACTATAAACAAATATTCTTGATTAAAATTGAACGATCAACAAAAACTAAATGATTATCAGCTCTTGTTATACCCAGTTAACATATTTACTGTTAACATTTGATGCCGTTTCATTTTAGATTTCAGATTGATTTTGTCAGTTAGTTCGAACTTTAATATAAAAATTATAAGATGTGGTATGATTGCAAGTGAGAAAACTCTATTCATGGGATCAAATGACACAGAAAAAAAAAAACAAATATCGGTCACTCTACGGCCTTCAACAATGTGTTTACATAAACAAACATTTTTATTTGGTTCACTAAAAGATTTGGAAACACAAATATGATGAAAGAGATGCAAGACAACTAACAACAAAGGATTGATTGATTGATCTTTCTGTCAATATAATGGAATTTGATGCGACTGTCATACAAGAGAGGGCCTCGGTGGCCAAGTGGTCTACTACTGTAATCACTAGCCAGTCAACACTGAGGTTGTGAGTTCAACCCCGCTCGTGCCGGTGCACTCGACTCCAATCTTAATTGACTAGGATTGTCAGTTTTCCTATCGAAGGATGGTGGTTTTCTCCGGGCACTCCGGCTTCCTCCACCAATAAAACTGGCCGCCACGAAATAGCTCAAATGTGGCGCTAAAAAGTGGCGTTAAAATACCAACAATCAATCAACAATCAATCATACATGTGAGAGGTTTAGCTAGCTATAAAACCAGGCTCAATCCACCATTTTCTACATAAGAAAATGCCTTACCAAGTCAAGATTATAACAGTTGTTATCTATTCGTTTGACGTGTTTGCGCTTTTGATTTTGCCATTAGGGACTTTCCTTTTTGAATTTTCCTCGGAGTTCAGCATTTCTGTGATTTTACTTTATACATATTTAGGGACTCCCGAAATGAAATAGGTGAACATTAAGTTGATAGAAAGAGGAATTAGATATCTTATGAGAGTTTTTCAACCTGATCAGTGCAACATTTTTAACAATAAAAATCGTGGTTACCCTTCTATCGATAAGTGTCAAGCCAAAAAATGACTTACATGTCCCCATCTTTCCACCAACAATACGGTAAGGTCTGCCTTTAATGGTCGCACATTTTCTTTAAATTTTGAAACTGATATAACTTGAAAAACAAACAGTATTATTCATTTACTCACATGACACAAACCGGGATGCGGTCTTCAGTACGTAGGTGAAACTGGACGATATTTATCTTAACGAACGCAAGAACACCTGCATCGTTTTAAAAGACCCAATAAATTCAAAAGTATCATTAATCAACATCTTAAAAAGCACAATCATCCTATTAAATATTTAACAGTTCAACCTTTAAAAGTAGTAAATAAGCAGCCTGGTGAATCTCATTCAAAGTTTGTACGATCAAGGATAATAATTAAATTAAATTGGATTAAAAAATATCACAATCTACCCTCTCGGTCTTAATGGTAATATCATGGGATTTGGTAATATATCAAGAACCGATTCTGTTAACATTTTGGATATAGTTTCAAAAACTGTTTGTAAAAACCGTTCTCATGGGCGTAGAAAAAATCGCAATCAAAGAAAATTTCGGACCAACCATACAATTATTTCGGACCTAATTTCTATTTCAAAAAACAACAGCAGACATTATCTATTAACCAAGCTCTGTTCTTTACCTATAAATAAATTAAATAAAACTTTAGAGGATTGCAACACAATCTCATATTGCAGTCCTAAGTATGAAATCGTCCAAATTATAATGGCATATTGTTATTCTAAACTGTCTCCCAAAATTGATCGCCCTGAAGATCATAAAAAACATTTTATTAAAATAAAGTATGCCAATAAAGGTTTTGATTTGTAAATATTGCCGGTATTTTTAACGACCATTCTGTTAAAGAACAAATTCCTGGATATTTTGATAATACTAAACTCCCTCTTATTTGTTATGTTAACAAGAAATCTACCCGAAAATTTGTGTTTAATTATAGCCAAGTCTGTAAAGATGTAAATATCAGTGAAAATACACCTACGTCATGTAGTTGTAGTAATTCCGAATACACTTATGGCCCCATTTCCCATGTTATAACAGGAGACCTTACCATCGTTCGCAACCGAGAGTTAAAATCATCCCTTAGTAAAGGACCTAAATATCGTCAATGTCGTATTATCATCCACGGCTCACTTCGTGCTTACTGCTTGAAATGGATAAAACGGGAAAAAGCTGACAAAAAATCTTTGGACTCAGTAATGAAGATAGTTGATATACGTATACAACATTTTGAAGAACATTTTACTCTTAACAACAACCATAAAAATCCTATTTCTCGTATCAAACAAAAACTAAAAGAATTAGCCGAGGAATTTATTTTTGTCCCGTCTGATAAAGCTGCTAATAATATCATTATAGTTTGACGTAAATTTTACATTGAGGTTCTGCAAAAGGAAATCACGAATTCACCAACATTCCAACTGACTTCATTTTCAGAAAACGATATCTTAACAAACATAAACTATTAGCTACTTCTTTACAAGCAGAACCAAATACAATGAAAGTCCCAACTATGTACTGGCTTCCGAAGCTACACAAATCACCTTACAAATATAGATTTATTTCGTCTTCAAGTCATCGTTCCACTACTAAATTGTCTATTCTACTTACTAGTACACTTGGTACAATCAAGAACCTGATAATAAATTGTTCAAATAAGGCCTTTAAAAATAGTGGAATTAACTACTTTTGGAGTGTCAAAAACTCGTTGGAAGTACTTGATAAATTGCATGCATATATTGATGATTTTGAATCTGTTCAAAGTTTTGATTTTTCTACCCTATATACCACTTTGCCTCATATCCTTATTAAGAGAAAATTCACACACCTCATTAAATGGGCATTTAAAAAGTCGGAATGCGTATACATATGTTCAAACTCTTTTAGGTCATTTTTTAGTAGCAACAAACAAAAGAACTATGTCAATTGGACATACTTAATATCATATCTGCCCTTGAATTTTTACTTGATAACATTTTTGTTCGCTTTGGAGATTCCGTATATCGTCAAGTTATCGGAATTCCTATGGGGACTAACTGTGCACCACTTATTGCGGACCTGTTTTTGTATTGTTATAAGTTACAATTTATGACTAAAATCAGCAAAGACCCATCGAAACAACATCTGATACAAAAATTTAACAATACTTTCAGATATTTGGATGATATATTGGCTCTCAATAATGACGAATTCAGTATGTATACTAAAGAAATTTATCCTGTTGACCCTACGTTAAATGAAGCTAATACTAACAATGACCACTGTCCTTTCCTCGATCTTGATATCTATATCATTAACGGGAAGATTAATACAAAAATTTATGAATAAAAGAAATGATTTTTTATTTCCTATCGTTAATTATTCATTTTTAGATGGCGACGTTTCCCTGTCACCATCTTATGGTGTTTATATATCGCAACTTGTACGATTCGCTCGTGTATGTAACAACGTATTAGATTTTAGCGAGATAAATTTATGTATTACTGAAAAATTATTACACCAGGTTTTTCGATATCATAATCTAGTCAAAACATTTACTAAATTTTATCATCGGTATAAGGACATCATTCGTAACTATAAGTCAACATGCAGACATCTTATACGTTCGGGTATTTCACATCCAATCTGTTATGGTAATATTCTTTACAAAGCACAAAAATGTCAGTATTCACCTCAAAAGCTAACAAAACCTTTAAACAGACTTATTAAGAAGGGATATAGGTACGATTCTGTTGTCAGGTCATTAAAGATTGCATATTTTGGCTTTAATATTGATTCCCTTATAGGGTCTTTGCATCAGAATTAAACATATTTATTCTAAAACCAGTTGTTGGCATGACACGGGTTATGTTCTTCTCATATATTTTATGATGGTATAAAACTAAACCCCTAACAGGAGGGATTGTGCCTGATATTCATATGATGGAGACATAATCTTTCGACCAGCTTAATTGAGGTCTGGAGCTGGCATGTCAGTAACTGCTAGTATTCTGTTGTTATTTATGTATTATTGTCATTTTGTTCATTTTCTTTTGTTTCCCATTCTGACATCGGAATCGGACTTCTCTTGAACTGAGTTTTACTGTGCGTACTGTTGTTCGTTTGTTTTTTTCTACATTGGCTAGAGGTATAGGGGGGGGGGGGGGGGTTGAGATCTCAAAAAAACATGTTTAACCCCGCCGCATTTTTGCGCCTGTCCCAAGTCAGGAGCCTCTGGCCTTTGTTAGTCTTGTATCATTTTTAATTTTAGTTTCTTGTGTATAATTTGGAGTTCAGTATGACGTCCATTATCACTGAACTAGTATACATATTTGTTTAGGGGACAGCTGAAGGACGACTCCGGGTGCGGGAGTTTCTGGCTGCATTGTAGACCCATTGGTGGCCTTCGGCTGTTGTCTGCTCTCTGGTCGGGTTGTTGTCTCTATGACACATTCTCCATTTCCATTCTCAATTTTAACAACACGAAAAGAGTTTACAACTGCAAACAGAAAACACGAAACATTGTAGCTAAGGATTTTTTATCAAACATTTTCTTTCTTTGGTGGCAATGTTGCTTAGACACTGGCTTACTTACTCGCTCAATTGGTTTGATATGATTTTGTTTACAGTGACATCTTTTTTTATTACTAAAACACATTATGGAAAGGATACAGATTTAATTAATTGGTCAAACAATTATCGAAATGTATCACGAATAATTAGACGATGATTTAAGTATGATTTGACATGATGACATTTAAATTCAAGTTGTTTTTTTCTATATAGCTATTTATTCAATATAGATAAACATTTACATTGGGTGAAAAATCAAGTATATTTTATATGTGAACTATCCAGGTTTTTGTCGG